GGTCAATGACGGGTAAATTAGATAGGTGTTTATAGAATCAGTGTGTAAGTTATATATTGAGCTTGGCCCTTGATGAGTGGAGAAAAGGGTAGGTTGAAAAATCAAACACAGTCTCATGTAATGCCAAAGTGTTCTACAGTTGTAAATATTAAACAACCACAATTCCTTTGATGATAGAAAAAAGAAAAAGCATGGCAATCTTTATTTGCGTTGATGTGTGAAATAGAAACTACTGTTGTTGTTCATAATTGATTGTGGGTGGTCCATTGACATTGCAATTGCACACTTTGATGCATTCATATACTATTATGATCATGCCACGCATGCTAATATGATATTCTATTACTAAACATATGATATTTATGTGTGTGCCCTCTTTTCATATTTCTCTGCCTTTGCATGCATTCCACTGCTTCACTCATCACTCGTTTTGTTACCCACTTTTCCATACCATCTCAACGCCATGTCTTTTTCAGCTCATAGAGAAAGGTGCTTCTTACAATTTCATGGGGTAGAGGAAGAAAAAGATCATACACAAATTTTGTTGCCATGAATTATTGGGTTTCATCAATCAACTTTGGGTTGATATTTAATAAGTTAATTTTTCTTATTGCATAAAAGTTAATGACACGCTTTTGAGATTGTTTAGAGGAAAACTCAAATATGCTTACCTTGAAAAATAGTTTGTTTTTATCTTTTATTTTCATTTCTAACAAAATTATTTCTATTTTTTATTTTTGAAAATTTTATATAAAGGAAGCAATTTTTATTATTTTTATATTACTTTTAAAAATTAATAGGAATTAATTCAAGTAGAATATATTTGATTTCCCTTGAGAAAAGGTTTTGGGTTCCAACCTTATATATATTTGATAAAAGAAATCTACTAACTTGATTCAAGCACATCCCCTAGATTTTAACCAAGAAATTACAGTCCCCAGATAAATTTTTTTGACTCAGTTTATGTTTTTAGATCCATTGTATCAATTAGGAGAGAACCAGTTTTTGTTTTCTGATTCATTTTACCAATTAGGAGAATTTCTATTTTTCTTTGGGTAACCCATGAAAACAACAAGCCTCCAAATTTTTAATCATTATCCCCAGTTAGAACTTAGCTTTTGGATTTTGGGTTTAGAGAATTCTATTTTTGGTCCACAGTTTTAAAGAAGTTGAATATTTAACAAAGCATTTCTAGAAATGGGCTTCCAATGGTTAAGGCCCAATCTTATACAAACTTTTTGACCCTTGACCAAAAACAAATTTTTTGACAAAAAGATTGCTCACAAACTACAAAAAACGTTCTTTAAGCCAGCGGTCCAAAACTTTTTTTTTTAAGATAAAGATATTATTAAAGTAAATACAGTTTCTTTCCACAAATAAGATTTATGTTTAATTAATAATAAAAATTCACATTTAAATTAATAATATTAATTATAATTTTTGTGTTACGTTTATTAAATTTTCAAAGTATATTAAAATAATATATACGTCGTTATCGAGTTTGAGAAGTTCATTGTAAATTCAACGTTTTTGCTCACAGTGTGGTGATTGGGAACGCATCCTCATCACATTGCGTTGGTCCAATTTACTATTTGCTTTACTTCGTTGACCATATTTAAAGCATATTATTCTTTTAATATTTTAAACACAAAAATCATTATTTAATAGATTATTTGTGAATTTCAATAACTAAATCATAAACTTAATTATTTATTACATGTAATTTATTTGTTATTTTGTTTATTTATCTTCTCATCAATTTTTCTTAAATTGAGTTTATTAAAAAAAATGATCTTATCAACTTCACAAGTTCATTGAAAATAGCAAAAGAGGGACCAAATTGAAAAACGACACAAGTCACATTCTGAAAGATTTTAAGAGCACAGTGGACACATGACAGACCATTGTTTTTTTTCACATAATAAAAAATCCAAACATGTGTATCTAAACTTTTTAATATTCTATATGATAAATACAAAATATACTAATTCCGTAACCAAATAAACCTTCTTTCGAATTTTGATACATTCAGATAAGAGAAAGTTGAATTTCGGATATTGTATTTGGAAGAAGGCTAAACAAATCATCTGTGATGAAAATTACAAGTTCATTAACAATTAAGCCTAATGAAAACACAAAAATATGTTGATGAAATTAAGAAGAAAGGTTTTTTTTTTTTTTACATATTTATATAAAAAAATTCGCTTTTGAAAATATTCTTCATAATTTGAAATTCAACCATTTTTCACATACTAAAGTTGTCAAATGGTGCAACTAACATAGAATTAACTCTTTTTTATATGTATAGAAAATCACCTTGGAAAAAGTTAATATGTATGATTTGATAAGTCAAACAAATTAAGTTGTTAATTTGCAAATCATCTCAATGAATTAATTTTGTAGTTAAAATTAAACTATAGCTAAACTCTTTCTTTTTCATGTTTGGCAAAATTCATATAATGGGCATTGTCTCTTTTTCCCACAATGTCATTTTTATTAACCTTAATCAATCATGGCAATTCTTTTTCTTTTAGGGCAAAAACATTGGGATTAGTGTTAATTAGATTTTCTCTAAGTCAAAGAAAGAAAGAATCTGGAAGTTTTGAGAGATACTCAAGGATAATTTATATAATGAATTCTTATAAAGATAGATATGCTAGAAAGTGTGGCAAATTGAAAGAAATTTTGACTCAACAAAGAGTGATTTATCAAATCAATTTAAAATTTGATAAAAATGTTATTCTAACAATATACAACTATATGATAACAAATCAATTTTAATTTTGCATCAAAACACAATTAAATTACATCACCATTTGATTAGAAGCAAGATATTTCAGAAGATGATCAACAAATAGTAATTCCTATTTCTTTTCACATGCATTTTGTTTTCTCTCTAAATTTGTGAATCACTCTTGAAGTCAAAATAGAATGATTTAGTAATCCTTTAGGGTAAATAAAGTTTAATTCATGTCATTATTGTTAAAGTAGTTTATGAGTCATTCTGTCGTATTAATCTAATTATTTGAGTTGAAATAATTTTGGTGGGCCTGAATTTTAAAGACGTGTCCATATTATACTAATCTAACTCCCTTATTTTTATAAATTTTAATATAAAATATTATTAATTGATAGAATAATTTTATGTATTATTATTTTTATATTATTATTTGTGTGAATTAATAAAATTATTTATTAGTATAATATATTATATTATTAGCATAAATTCATAATATTTATAGTAATAATGTTCACAACATTAAATCATTAGTCAATGAATTTTTTTCAAGTATAATTTTTAATAATAATAAATTAATAATATTTTACATAGTGTGATATTATATTTATTTTTACATTATTTATTTTAAAATACATACTCATAAAATATATCCTAAAGAAAAAAATGACTTTAATAAATAATTTTTTTTATTTTCTCTTCTTCCATTTTTAATTTAAAATTTAAATAATTTCTATCTTTTCTTTTTTCTTCACTAAATTAAATAGGACATTAAATTTAAAATTTTCCTTTTTTCTGAAACGGATAGAAGAAAAAGGTTGATGTTCATTATGAGTAGGACCGTAGTGAACCTTCTGTCCCTTATGAAGGGGAGTGATAGGAAGCTCCCCAAAACGACACGCCGTAGAGTTTAAAAAAATAGCAAGAAAAAGAAGTGGGCCCCACATCTGATTCAGTGCCAACGTGGATTCTCTAAAATCTGATCAGCTTTGGGGCAAACACTGTCAGTACTCAGTAGTCGTAACATTTCAGACACACCGTACAAGTAAATAAAATAAATAAATAAATATTATAGCAAGTTCCAATGTTAATAAAAATTACTTTTTGTTACACTAAAAAAAGTATTAAATATTTATAAAAATTAAAATAAAATTATTTCCTCTAAAATACTATCTTGACACGTTCATCATGACTATGTGATTTTTGTTCACAAATTTATATTTATTAACAATTTTTATTTTTTATTAATTTTATATGTTTTGTCGAAAACCTTATATATTTAAAAAATGTTTATTAACATAAAAGCTTCATAATTTATTCAGAAGTAGTTATTGCTTTAATAATTAAGACAATATGAAATAACGTTAAGGTGTCTCTGAAAGACACTGAATTTTCAAATCGAAGTTGTCAATTTCATACTAAAACTGGTATCATTAAATATATAATAAAAATATAAATTTTAGTAAATGTTATTTTTATTATTATATATAATCACAATAAATTACTTATTTTAAATCAATAAAAATTATTATTATACACACATTTTCAAAATATATCGTAATTTCAAACACGCACTTATTTAGTGTTATAAAAAAATAAAATATAAAAACAAATCAAATTAAAACAAATAAAAGATACGGTCATTTTTTTAATATAGAAAAAATGAAAAATTATCAAAATATGGTGTTTCCAAAAAAATTATAAAAATATGAAAATTTTAAAAAAAATCATCGATAGTAATTTTTGACTAAATTTTTTTAATTATTTTTATAAAAATCTTTATTGAAAATTTTTAATATTTAAAAAAATTATTTTTAAACTTTATAACTTTAGTGATAATTTTTAAATATTATATTTCTGTAATTTTTTCAAAAATATCATATTCTGGTATATATATATATATATTTAAGTTTTATATATAAAAAATTATTTTTAAAAGGTTTTGGACAAATAAGTTTAAAAGCACGTGTATAAAATATGTGTTTTGTTAAAAGAATTTTTAAATACAAATTAATAGTAATGAAATAAACTTAAATATTTATGTATTTAAATACAAATACAATCTTGTTAAAATTATTTTTGTAAAATGAAGATAAGTATATTTAATTACTTATCATTTCTAAAGGTTTTGAATTTCATGGAGAATTAGAATCAGAATAAGAATAGAACTCAATGGTAGGTGAAGGTGGTAATTTTGCAGAAAAAATAGGGTCCATTTACCAACAATAACTGTATATAAACCAAACCAAGACAAAGGGATTGCACAAAGTTTTCATCCTTCTAATGAGTGTTGTTAATATTTGATGTTTTCCTCTGTCTGTAATAAATAACTCACACCTTCTACCATTTCTGTGCACTCTATCTCTCTTTCTCAAATTCTTTTGTTCAAAAGCTACGCTTTGGAATCAGCATTTGGCTGTTTGGTAAAACTATCCTTTCTGTGCATTGCTTGGTTTTTGTTTGGTGTTCAATTTTGATGAAATTTTAGATGCAAAATTTTCCTTTTGTTCCTCTCATATTGGATCTGGTGTTGGTTGTGGAAAACCCATTTGAGTATTTGGGCTATGGTTACTGGGTTGTGTGTTTTTTGTACAGTGGTGAAGTGGGTGAGCATAAAGTTAGTTTTTTTTGTACTTTTATTTATTATATTCTTTTCTTGGGTTGCTTTGGAGGGAGTTTCTTCTTGTTTGAGTGTTCTTTGATGTTTGTCTATTGATGATTTGTTCACTTGGCTTCTTTAGTGATAGGATTGTCTTGTGTGGTAGAGCATAGTGTTTGTTAGATGCAATATACTGGAAAAGTGATATGATGGCTTTTTGTTTTTACTCTTATTTGTCCTTAATAGATAAGAGAAAAGTTAAAATTAAAATGGGATATGAAATTGTGTTTTAGTTTATGAATTGGATTGCTTAGTCCAGTAATCCAGTCATAGGGTTTTGGCTTTGATCGGCCTTAGTTAATCTGCAGTGACACAAAATGGTATCAAATTCTCCAAGGCCCAAATTAGGTGTTCCACAATATCTGCAAGCTAGTTTAGGCTGGTTAGTGGTTAGTCAATGCAAGGTCATGATCTGCAAAAGGACACTTCTAGTATTTTATTAGAAATGAATAATGTCCAAAAGTAGCAAATGTTGAAAGGCTTGGCTTGATGTCTTGATCCAATCAAATACATTTGCAATCTGTTAACATTTAATGTGAATGCTTTTAGAAGATAGCAAACTGTGTAAACTTTCCCTTTCCATTTTTAATACATTTATGATAGGGTGTATAAGAATGCATACTCTCTAAAGTCTGTTTAAAAGTGGTTAATCTATTATGTTACTAACTGACGGCTGGCATAAGTTCGTTTCAATCGCCGAATGTACTAGAATCATAGTAGAGTAAGATTAGTCTTGGAAATCAAACTTTCTGAGAAAATACTTCAACTTGATTATTCTCTTCCTCTTTCTTGCATTTTCTCTCTAATTCTTGGTAACTATTTGTATTTTTCTTAGTTTCTTTATCTGTGCTCTTTGAACCATTATTTTTACAGGTCTTTGCCAATGGATGCTAAGTCTGCTGTAGATTTAATGGAATCTTCTTCTGAGGTTCATTTTTCTGGATTTCACATGGATGGTTTTGAGCAAAGAAAGGCTAGCATAGAACAACCAACAACCTCAGAAACTGACATGTACAAACAACCTTTTGTCATAGGTGTGCTTTCTTGTGGCAAACTGCCAAAGTAGTAATACTAATAAAGCCACCAACTACCTATGTCCTATGGTCCTGAAATTCAGTGGTCATGGACTGTTTTTGCTCCATGTTTCTAGGTCAAATGAGTAATAGGTGCTAAGCTTTCTATCTGTATGGTTTCACTGTTAGAGCCCGTAAGTGGAATGGGCTGTGTTCTGTTATGATAGAGAAAATGTCACCAGCCCTGTTCTTTGTCTCTTTTGGATGTAGTTCACATGAGGCCATTGATTTGTGTGACATATTACATGAATAAAATGACTGTTAAAGTACAATTTTGCTCTAGTTTTGAAGTAACAAATTTCTTGACTTGAAAAAAGTATGTCTTTGTAAGAAAAATGACTTAGATCAGAATTAATGTTTGCTGTTAAAACTGAAATGAAATGTCAGTCATCTTGCTCAAGTTATTAAAAATTAACATGAAATTAAATTACCTAAACATTTTATATGCAGGTATGAGTCCTGGTATCATTATATCATTTCACTTAATATTCCCATTGCTCATTCACCTAATATCATTCCCTTATACATCATGGGGTCCTAAGTTTGTATACCTTGTTTTCAATTTGAATAACTTTTTTGTTGTATCTTAATAATTATAATTATTTATTAATTTTTCATTATATTTTGCAGGTGTTGCTGGGGGTGCAGCATCTGGCAAGACAACAGTCTGTGATATGATTATTCAGCAACTTCATGATCAGCGAGTTGTACTTGTTAATCAGGTATTTAGTTCTTTCTATTTATATATATTGTTATATATAATGATTTATTGTTTGTGACACAAAATGATCATTGAGGGAAAACAATCAATTAGTTAGTGCTTTAGGCCTCTTAAGCTTTCTGTTCTCTCCATTTTCTGAAACTCTTGGAGGTTTTGTTTTCCTTGTGATATTCAAAGAATTTATGGAATGCTTTTATCATCTTTCTTTTGTAATTTTATTGTAAATTTGACCTGATGCGGCCCATGGGCCCAAGATTGCCAAAGTGTATGAGAGAAGAAAGAAGTCCAATGGACCTAGAAGAGAGAGTAAGCAGCTAACTGCCTAGCTGGCAGTAGAGTATTTCTGAGTGCTGTGCTCAGTGGAGGGAAGTTGATGTAGCAGAGGAAAGTGTGACTGAAGGGGGAACGGGGAATTGGACTTGGAATTTGGAGAGAGCTAGGCACTTACAAATTTGCATATATATATATATATATATATATATATATATATATATATATAGAGAGAGAGAGAGAGAGAGAGAGAGAGAGAGAGAGAGAGAGAGAGAGAGAAAGAGAGAGAGACCTTTTTATTTCTTGTTCATTTGTATACAGACTTAACCCATGGATTCTGAACACGAACATAGTTGATTCAGACCAATTGCTGTGCATACAATACTATTTTCTTCCATTTTAGTTATCATTATACTACTACTTATTAAATTGGTATTAGAGTCTCTTTCACTATGTCTCTTAGCTACAAACAAGTGGTATTGGTGGTGGTGCCAGCATTGCAATGTTTTCCTAGGACTAGTCAAAGGGCTTAAGCTGGTTAGTGTGAACATTGAGGCTGTAGAGTGTGGTTGAATGTTAGGATTCAATGGAAAGATATAGGAATTAAGGCCTTTGTCCCTCTAATTGCAACTGTATTAGCTTTTGTAGTGTAGTTCTCCTAAGGTTCTTAACTTCTTATTAGATCCTATTTGTAACAACATGATACCTCACCCTCTGTTATTTTATTAGTTTTAGTATTCTGTCAAGCTTCTTCCTTGCCTTCTCTTATATAAAGAACACATGCTACTGTATTCTAAAATTTCACCCTCAGGATTTCATAATATGAAGATATTAACCATCATTACTTCTATTAATTGTTCCTTTCTTCCTTTTGTCTTATATTTTGTTTTTGGTAATGTGTTTCAAAATATGAACTACATGTTTCTTATTGTACTTATATTAATACATTGGGCTTAATAAATAAACTATTTAAATATTTAATTTATGACAGGATTCATTTTACAATAACTTGACTGTGGAGGAGCTTACAAGAGTACAAGATTACAATTTTGACCATCCTGGTCAGTACTATTATATTTCTTTGTCTGTCATCATTTCTAATTTTCTTTTGATATTTAGGTAATATAAAAGATGAAATATTACAACCTTGTTCTTTCTTTAGTTTTATTTATTTAACTTTTACTACAATGTATTTTAAGGATGAGGTTTCAAAGCCATAAATAATTGTAATGTTTCAGTCATTCCACAAATCAATTATGAACTCATTTACTAAAGCTACATGATAGTAAGTAATAAAACTACTGAAAATTGATAGGGTAGCAGGATACAGAGAATATATGATATTTTAATTTTCTTAATGGAATATATGTGAATATTCTTGTACTTTTGTTATGATGTATCATCAGATGCTTTTGATACTGAGCAATTGCTACTTGTTATGGACAAGTTGAAGTGTGGTGAAGCCGTAGATATTCCCAAGTATGATTTTAAGAGTTACAAGAGTGATGTATTAAGAAGGGTATATTTCTGGATCTTCTATTTTTTAATAGTAGTTTTACTCCCTTTTTCTTAAAATGCTTTAATGGATTTAGATTGACATTCTAATTTTAAAGTTTTGAATATCATGCAAAATATGCTTTTTTTATTCATATAGCATTCATCAAATATATTTGACATGATAATCCAAATGCATATTTTAGCTTAGTTTTACATAAAAAGTTATCATTCTTATACTAATATATATTACTTTAACGTATTTTTCAGGTGAATCCTTCATATGTTATAATTTTGGAAGGCATTCTTGTTTTCCATGATCCTCGTGTTCGGGAGTTGATGAATATGAAGATATTTGTTGACACAGGTCCTTTATTATTGGTGTTCCATCTTTAGTTATGATTTATTTTATTGTAACTTTTCAATTGCATTTGCAAATTTATATGGGATCTGTTATTAAATCCACATTGTGATATAGGAAAATTCATATGCTCCATTGATCTGTATTCTTTAAGAAAACACTTTTTTTTTTTGGAGTGGAAGTGGTACTACAAGTCTATGACACTTTGATCCTATATCATTTCAACATTTTTGCTTTTTTCATTTATTTGTTGGCTCTTCATTATTTTATTAAATGTAACCTATGAGTTCCAGCAAGTTAATTTATAAGCCTGCATATTTTGTGTCTCTGTTGAAATACTACGTTAAGCTGTGACTTTACATTTTAAAATGTTCAGTGCAGATGCTGATGTTCGATTGGCAAGAAGGATTAGGCGTGATACTGCAGAGAAGGGTCGAGATATTGGAGCTGTACTTGATCAAGTAGCAACTTTCTGCCATGTCATTTGCACTACTATTACCATATGTTGATGATTATTTCTGGCTCTTTTTCACGTTGATTATACTTCATGCAAGACTTGGGAAATCATGTTTTAGTTTCATGCTGCTGATTGGCCACTATGAAAAATCCTTAATAATGGAATTTGTGATTATAGTTTTTCTGGAATTAAATCATCAAGGAACCATTTTGTGCTTATAATAACATCAACAAGCTTTTCTTTATCAGATTTTGATGGTTAATTCCTTACACTTAATGGCTTTTGGCAGTTGATTCAATTCTTATGTTGTACTTGTTGCAGTATTCAAAATTTGTGAAGCCAGCTTTTGATGACTTTATTCTTCCAACAAAGAAGTATGCTGATATAATTATTCCCCGTGGGGGAGATAATCATGTGGCCATTGATTTGATTGTACAGCACATCCGCACAAAGCTTGGTCAGCATGACCTTTGTAAAATATATCCGAATTTATATGTCATTCAGTCAACTTTTCAGGTACTTCTGAAATTTATTGACCTTTTCTATCATTCCAGATATAGCTCCAACCTTTTATTTTGTCATAATATTTTAATCATGCAGATACGAGGTATGCATACTTTGATACGTGATGCCCAGACAACAAAGCATGATTTTGTATTTTATTCTGATCGTTTGATTCGATTGGTAAGTAAACAGGGTTGTTTTTGGTTTCTTAATTTAATGGTGACATGATATTTTCCTTGCTTATTACTAATCATATTTCTTGCACTTTACCAGGTTGTAGAACATGGTTTGGGGCATCTACCATTTACAGAAAAGCAAGTAATCACTCCCACTGGTAACTTTTCTTTTTCAGTTCCTGCCTTCTAGGATTACTGTGAATTGTGATGTATTTATGTGCTGCTTTCATTGTTTTTGATATTTTTGCTGAATATACAAAATACCTTAGCTAACATCTTCCTTTTTAGATGCTTCATTTTCCTCCTTTCCCTTCAGTGTCTCTAATAATATGGTTATTGGGTATCTAGTTTCTTAAGTACTGGCTCATTGTTTTCACAAATTTGAGGAGTACACAAACTACATGGTCTCAGCCATGTTCTAGAAATGTCTATGGCTATAGTTTTAGTTTTCGTTTTGTGTTAAATTTCCATTAACTTATATCTTAAATTCTCTAATCTTGGTAGAGCTTCTACTAATAGCAAATGAAATTGATTCACTAATTCCATGCCCCCCAATGATTTCTTTTTTCATGCCTTTTCCACCAAATATGAAATCATGCTATGATGGCTCTTCATGAATCCATCTTGAGAGGAGACTACAAGTAACTGTTACATGTTGACTTCCATGTTTGGAGCCTTTCTTGATAGATTGTAAACCAAATGTTCATCATGTTGCAGTAATGCAGTACTTGAGAAATATGTTCTGTTTTCCATGATTTTAATTGCAACAATTGTCATTCTGAACGTAAAACTTCAATATCTGTCTTCAAGTGGATGCCAATCTTGGTCTTCTATTTACAAAAGAGTTAGTTTGTTCATGTTTGAACCTTTTTATGGTAACTGTTGATTCTTGTCCTCAAATGCAGGTTCTGTCTACACTGGTGTGGATTTTTGTAAGAGGTTGTGTGGTGTCTCTGTCATCAGGAGGTAATAAAGCTGGTGTCACTTGAGCATTTGACTGAATCGTTTTACCTTGCTTCTAAGTATTGAATGAAATATGATTTCTTAATCGAAATTGAATAATTCAATAAATATAGAAATGCTCTTTTGTTGATTTGAAAATTCATTAATTAGATTGCATTTGGTGGCTTGTCTTAATGAACTAGTCCTCCGGTCCTCTCCCCTCCCCTGCGGTTTGATGTGAACTCATATCTCTGCAGTTTATAATATATGGTTCAGAAAACCATTTTCTATTATTAATATCTGTTGATTTCAGTGGAGAGAGTATGGAGAATGCTTTACGAGCATGCTGTAAAGGTATCAAGATCGGGAAAATTCTGATTCACAGAGAAGGTGACAATGGTCAGCAGGTTTGTTCATCTGCACGTATGCTTTGGTACATATCTATGTTTCATTTGTTGATCACTGACTTCTATTCTTTGATCAATATGATCAGCTGATATATGAAAAGTTGCCAAATGATATATCGGATAGGCATGTGTTACTGTTGGACCCTATCCTCGGCACAGGTTTGTCATCTCTTTTTTGTTTTTGCACTTGTTCTGAAGTTAAAAGTGTGTGCAGCCTACTGCAACTTAAAAGTTACGCAGTGATTATCATAATAAGAAAGGATTTAAAAATTTGATATTTGGTTTTGCTGATTTTCATTTGCATATAACCTTAGAATTTTTAATTTTTATCTTTAGGTAATTCTGCTGTTCAAGCAATTTCTTTACTCATAAGAAAGGGTGTGCCGGAGTCCAACATTATATTTCTTAATCTCATATCTGTAAGTTACCAATCCCTAGTTCCTCTATATCTCTTGCTCTTTTCTTTGCAATGCGTGTAACATTCTCATGCTTCTTTCTTTTCTTGCACAGTTTTGATGATTTATACTTGTCTTCTCTCCATTTCAGGCACCTAAAGGTGTGCATGTGGTCTGCAAAAGTTTTCCAAGAATAAAAATAGTGACATCTGAGATTGAAATTGGTTTAAATGAAGATTTCCGAGTCATACCAGGCATGGGTGAGTTTGGAGATCGGTATTTTGGAACCGATGATGATGATGTGCAAGTGGTGGCTACTTCACAGTAATTATACAACAACGACACTCAAGCCTCATAGTCACTTCACAGTAATTATATTTAGACGAAATCTATAATATTTTTGGATTGATCATCATTACTACTGAGACTTCGTCTGGAAAATAGGTTGAGATTATCTCAATCAATATTGTGCTTGGATCTGAATTTTAGTTCTAAATCAATTTTGACTCTATTGGACCTTGGATCACCATTTATTTCATTATCCTTGTGTTTTGTTTTAGCAAATGATGTATTGTTTAATGTTCCAATAAAAATTTCATGTTTCCTTCTACTACTCCAGAATTTCTTTGAACTTGTGTTGATTTCTTTCCCCAATCCCACGTATTTACTCTCTCTATATAGAAATGAATGTACAGATTAATTGGTAGATTGAATTTTTGAACGCCCAAATTTCGTTTTGCTAAGTTTCTATTGAACTCGGTGAGGAAGATATGCAGAGGGTAGACTTTATTGTGCACCAAAACGAAAGGTAAAAAAAGTAATGATGTGGGGTTTAGTTTCAAAGTAAGGGAAATATTTTCGAGCATAAAGTGTGAACTTACTGTTGATTAAAAACTTAAAATTTAAGATTGTTATAATTTCATAATTTGTTATGCATGTGCATGTATTTGATTATAATTTCAATCAATAATTTTCTAACAACACACTATCCTCAAATCCAACGTGGGATACGGCTGAGATTGAATTCTGCAAACAAACTACAAGACTCACTTGAGTTCGCATCCATTGCTGTAAATTGTGCAATATTTGATGCAGTAGACAATCCATTGGCCACACCAAATAACATAACATTGCTTTTGTAAGAATGATGGCTGACAGAGTTCAGTAGGGTATTACAGTATACATCATCGTACTTGCATTTATATTTCTTATTAATATTTTAAATTTTTATATTTTCTTGCTAAATCCTTGAAAATTTTAAAATAACTTTGAAAAGTAATGGAGCACTCACTACCTATACGATATGCATTCTATCCATGCATCCTACTCTTATAACATGAAAATCTGGAGGCAGATGTTTATGGATAGCAATTGAAACAAGATAATGTACAAGAGGGAGTGAAGTACGTTTCCAGGTAGTAACTTTGACTAAATGCATTCATGTGCAGGAAGATATTATTAAGGGTAAATTATATCTGAGGTTTAATAAATTTTACTTTGTTTTTCCCTGTTTTTCATCTTACACATACCCTTTTTAATTTATGTGATAACATAATTTTAATCCAACTACGTATGATTTTTTATGTAGTTATACAAGTCGAGAATGTTGAAGTAATGTAAAGAAATGTAAATATAATTTGTCTTGTTATTAATTGTGTTGCTAACCAAATTTGGAAAGCATAATAGTGGAGGTAACCAAAGGCTAAAGTACCGTTTTGTTGGGTCACTTGTCACTAGTGGGACGCGGATATTCCATTAATACAACGATACCTATCCTCATATGTTATCTGATTAAAATAATACTATTGTTTGCTTTGAAGATTCTGTATCTGACTTCGAGATATGAGGCTCACTATAATAAATTGTGCATGTGTAATTTTGAAATCCTAGTTGATACCACACCAATCTTCACAAAGTCCTTTTTACATTTTGACTTTTACTATTTTAGACAGTCAAAAAGGCTTCTAAATCTAATTAGTGTTCAATAATCACTATACAATTAAGAAAAAAACAATAAAGTATTGAATTGATATTACCTGATGAAATGAAATCACCAAACATGTTTTCTATCTACAAACTAAAAAAAATATAAAAGACTTATCTCTTAAACATCTTTCTCTTTTCTCTCTGATACCATCCAAATCATATATACTATGATATATCAACTTATCAAGTAGTTTACAGAATCATTCTTTTCACACTGGCATGGTATTACTATTACTTCGTACGAGCTATATATGAATCCAAATTAAGAGAGTAGAAAGCAATAAACAAGCATGAAAAATTCTACCCTTTCATCTTCATCGCTTTGTGATGCACTTCCTAGCTACCAAGACACCAGTTGGTGGACCAGTCATCTCTATCTGGCATCTACTATGCAACCAATAAGACATATGGAAGAACCCTAGTGTAACTCTCACTTTAAATGTTCCTCTCACATTGTAGCAAACCCTATTACCCTGCACTTGCTTTTTAAGGTTCACACCAAGATCCTTAGGCAAAAACACCAAGCTGGATATGAACTGCAATGATTCCAACCTGCTTTCTCTTCTCCTTTGACTAAAGGGTTGAATTGACTGTGTTGATATGATCCTGTTTGAGAAGAAAAGTTCAACATCCAAAGACTCAAACCTCACATCAATTTTCCTGTTTGGATTGGTGATATTTGCAAGGAGAGTGAAGTCACCATTGAAGTATTCTGGTGAGTCAAAATACACCGCATTGAGGTTTGCATTTGGGATGTCAAAAGTTGGGTTTCTTGGTTTGATGCCAAGGAAGATGATCAAAGTTGCTACTCCAAAGAAGATGAGTAGAAGGCTGAATATGAGGCACAACACAGCAGCAAACCATGTGATTGGATTAGTCCTTTGAAATTGAGGTTGTCTTAGTGTTGGTGGTGGCCTAATTGACTTTGTTGTAACATTATTTGGTGCATCTGAATTTTGAGAATTTTGTTTGATGGGTTGTTTTGATATGATAATTTGGTCATGAGAGACTTGCTTTGTACATTGCCTTGTGGCTAGGAGTGGTGGTGGTGGTGGAAGGGGAAGCATGTTTGAGTCTATGGTACTAGAAATGCTCACTCTACTTAAACAAAGCAAGATGTGGAGATTAAGATGACAATGTTATTTATTTGATGTTGTTTATTCTAAGTGGAGTGCTGGGTTAAGGAAAGTGAAGAAGGGATAAAGAAGCTTTTGAATTTTAATTGAGTAGTAGTGGGGACAATGTGTTTTTATGGGTATTGGCAAAAGGTGAGTATGTGGAGCTAAAGTTGAGCTACATTGAGATTTGGATTTTGAATGTTAATGAATGGTATTGGTACGTTGTAATGTAATGTTTGAGAAAGTTCTAAAGAATGAGCTGAACAGAGCCCACATATGCTTTGTTTGCTCTTTAATGCTGTAAGTAAATGACTGTCAAACTGCACAAATGGTGAATCTAAGAGTATTCGAGACCAAAATAAAAGTATACGTTGGGTTTGACTAAGAAAGTGTAGCAACCAGAAGATAAATATAGAAAAAAATTTACGTAATATAAGTCTATATAAGTTGGATGAATTAAATATATTATAGTTTTTTTTTTCAAACGTACGTTGAATGATAGATGTTAAGAAATTGAAAATAATTTTTTTATTATCTTAAAATCATAAAGAACATTCAATGTATACTTAAGTATTTAATAGAGTATATCTAACTCTTCTTAACATGTCTCATTAAATTACATATGTTTTTATAATTTTATACGGAATATATATTTTTATCCATCTATATATGTGTTAGTATAATTCTGTGTCAAATTTTATTAAAATTTAATAATTACAAGAATATAATTAAAAATATTATAATAATTATGCATTCATTTGAGATTAATGTAAATTATAACTTAGCTAGGACCAAAATTTTTAATTATAATTAAAAAAAATTTGCTTAAACAAAAATACACTTTATTTTAAGAATTTTGATGAGTTTGTTTTCTATTCTAAAATGGCAATGTTTGTTCTATGACTTGAATAAGTCTTAGTGGCTCTCTTTTTTGTACCTTGGCAATTTATTGCTATTGGATAAACTTTAAATATACCTCAGCTTCATAATCTTCTTTTCTTCCTGCATGATCAATTCATGCCACTTTTTAGGGGTGATGAAATCATGATTGAGACTTAAGCTTTAATCCCTTTTGGTTGTAACTCTAAATTTCTTGCAATTGTTAGAAAAATTCAAAAAAAGTGTTGTGTTGTGGTAAAAATTACTGATTTGACAGTAATTTGACAGTAAAATTACTGATATAATATAATTCAATTCATAATATTAAGATGGACTAATATGAATCTTAAAAAACAAGGCAAACAATATTTATATATTTTTAAAATATATGTAATAAATATGAATGGTTTTTTTCAAAAATAAATACTTATATATTTTAAGTTTTATATCACAATATATTATGTATGATATATAACATAGGAAAATTATGATGCAATTAAAGTTCCTATTGACAGCATGATTACATATGAAAACTATTACTAACAAAATTTTACAAGCAATTCTCTAGCTGCAGTGACTCGAGTCACTGCTTAACCCCTCTTTCTCACTTGCTTTAATGCTTTCTTTGGACCAAAAGTGAAATTAGAAAGATTGAAATATGAATATGAATGATATAACAATATTTTTATAATAATTAAAAATAAATTTAACTTATATAAATTTTTATTATACACACACACACAAATATATATATATATATATATATATATATATAAATTAATATTAATATAAAATATTTATTATATTTAAACCATTAAATAAAATATGAAAAAAAATGCAGCCTTTAAATGTTTTAGTGTGAAATCCATTAAAATAAAAACATTTAACTCTATATTTGACCTTAACCGAAGAAAAATGTACAAATTGATGAACTTCATTTCTTGCAAAGTTAGCATGCCACTTTACATATTGTATTTGAGTGGGAAAATTATGTATACACCAAATATTCTTATATAATGCAGATGTTCTTGCTTGAACAAGATTGTGAGAGCATTTTCATGAGTAAAACTATTAAAAGTTGATTATATTTTACTATATTAATTCTATGTTAGTTCTATAATAACACATCACTCTTTTTATTTAAGCAACTTTTAGCTACAACTTTACTTTTATTAATTCTAGATTTTTTGGTTTTTCATTTTAAAATTAATACTAAGAATCTCACTTTTTTCCCCTAATTTTTAGCTTAAGCAATAGTTGCTTAATTAAGGAATGGTAATGACAACTCATTAATTTCTAATGATATATTGAAATAAACAACCGTTGCTTATGTAAAAAAATAATTTAAACAACTCTGAATCAATATATACATTTTTAGTTAATATTAAAAATAATAATTATTTAAAAGTCCTAAAAAATATTATTTTTATCAATCAAACAAATTTATAAAATGATCAAAATTAATTTTTTAAAATGTATATACCTTTTTATTTTTATTATAAATATATATTTCCATCATCTAAAATAATCTGATTGTGGGGGTCATAGGTCTGGGAAGGGTCATATCATCTTCTACTTTAACTTCTTAACTTTAATTAGTTTGTGCGATTCCGCGTTGTCTTACTTTAATTATTTGCATTATTTTTCTATTATTATTATTATTTGAATGCTTAAATTTAATTATCTTTTTAAAAAATATTATTTTTCATAAATAAAAAATATTAAATAAATTTTAAAAAATATTTTTACTTTACTCGTGAAAAAAATAAAAATTATTTAAATTATTTAAAAATGTAAATATTAATTTTGATTTAATAATTTTATAATATTTACTAAAAATATGTCAAAGATTATATTATTGTTCATCCTCATCTTTTAATTATTTTTTCTTGGAAAAGATAATAAAGTAAAAGACATGAAATTCTAAAAGCAGCGTCAAGAAAGAATGTTTTTAGCTGTCTTTCCTCCTAATTGAAAAGCAATATCTGAACGGACTTCTCACTACACACACAGTTTCTATGCAAAACAAGTTGTTTTTTGGGAGAATAGAATCTCAGGCACTTTGAGCTCTAACACCTGGTTTTCCTCTCCCTATTCACAAGTTCAATTTCTCCATTCTATAATTTACTTTGCCTTCTTTGTTTAATCTTATATTTTTATTAAGATTGGTTTCAATTTTGTTTATGTCTGGAAATTTAACCATTATTGATACTTCAAACTTTTCTATTTTGATTTATATCAGAATAAGTAATGTTCCTATGAGTCATTTGTGACTCTGACTTAAGTACTCTGTATTTATTGTAATTTTCTGATTTATCTGAGTTTCACTTTGCCACAAGTAGCCGAGTAATTTCAATATTTTAGTTTCTATTATTTAGTGTGTTTGGAGCTGAGTTAGTTGAAGTGGATATTTTGTGTGATGCTTAATGAGCCAAAGATTAAGATCAGATTTTTGAAACTACTATTTTGCTCTACTTGAAGAACTATACAGATGAGAAATTATTGATTGTAAAATGATTTATGATTTGGGAAATTCTACTGGCTGTTACAGTGTTAAAACTTTGAAGTGTTAATCTCAACGCTTGTTTTACCAACTTAATGTTTATCCTGCAGAGGTTTTGTATACAAAATTGAAGAAGATTTTAAGAGTATCTACTATGACTGATTTTATATTTGATTTTTAAGGTGTGTGCCTATATATCCATGACGGTTGCAAATCTATCAGCAAGCTTAGTTTTGTATCTTTGTTACAGGTTTATCTCATCAAATGGCAGAAATTGCGGTGAACCTTGTGATTGACAAGTTGATCCCTTTACTTAGAGATGAAGTTAACCTTCAGAGAGGAGTGCCAAACAAACTTGAGTCAGCGAAAGACCAGTTGCAAATGATTCGTGCTTACTTAAAGGATGCAGATGCCAAGGCAGAAATGGGAAAAACCAACCACTCCGTGAAAGAGTGGATCATGCAAATGAGACAAGTTTCATATCGTATAGAAGATGTGATTGATGAGTACTTGTTGCAATTGCACAATAAGCTGCAAGACACTTGTGGGGTTGCTAGTGTCATATGTAAAATTTGTGACTTGCTCAAATCAGTCATGTCCCGCCATAAGATTGCATCACAGATTGATGAGATCAGAGACTCAATAGAAAGACTCAGCAGAGAAAAGGAAACTTATGGGTTCAATCCATCTGCTTTGGAACCAAGGAGTGATATTGCCACGGTGCATTATCTTCGACAGGGTGCCCTTTTCATTGAGGATGATCAGCTTGTGGGGATTGACCATATCAAGCAAGTACTATCCAGTTGGCTGTCAGAACAAGATAGTCGCACTGTGATCTCAGTGGTAGGCGAAGGTGGTCATGGTAATGTTCCAACTGTTTAGTATTTTGAGCCGTTGTTATCTACTTAAATGATACATAAATATTAAAAACAAAAAACAGTAGCTCACGATGTTAATATAAACTAGGGTTTGTCTAAGTTATCTCATGAGAAAAATAATGCAATCCTAGGTACATTAATGAATTTTTGTTTATAAACTTCAAATATAGATGTCGTGAAGATATAGAAATTTTGTATCTATTTAAAGGATTCATAAAACATTGAAACATCAGTATATTGTTTTATTTTTCAACTTTATGTATTCCTATGAAGAGAGTAATTTTTATATTTTCTAGGATATTGTAACATCATATCACATTTTTAACTTTTTCAAATTTTTATTTTGTAAACTTTTTTGTATCAAGGTAAAACAACGGTTGTGAACAAGGTATTTAATCAAAAGAATAAGGAAGCATCTTTTAATTGTTATGCTTGGATCACTGTATCCCGTTTGCTCAAGGGAGAGAATCTATTGAAGGATTTGCTAAAGAGACTTTATGAGGAGGCTGGCGACAAAGGATCAGTCAAAGAAATTAGTGAAATGGACAGAAACGCTCTGGTAATAAAACTCAGAGAATACTTACAAGGAAAGAGCTATTTGATTGTTTTTGATGACGTATGGGAAGAAAGCTTTTGGGGAGACGTAGAACATGCATTACCAAGAGACAAGGGTATGATAATCATCACGACAAGAGATAGGAGAGTTGCTGAGTTTTGTGGAGGTCATGGACCAATTCACATCTATGACATGCAACCACTAAACCATGGTGATGCTTGGAACCTTTTTTGTGTGAAGGCTTTTCGAGAAGGTTGTCCCAAAGATTTGAAAGGATTGTCAGAAGAGTTTGTTAAGAAGTGCAATGGAGTGCCACTTGCAATTGTGGCTATTGCTAGTCTCCTCTCAACCAAAAACAAAAATGTCTTAGAATGGAAAAGGGTATATGATAGCCTACGCTCAAAACTTTCAAGTGATCCCCATCTTAGCAGCGTCCATCAGGTTCTGTCTGAAAGTTACCAAGATCTTAGTTACCACCTCAAGTCATGCCTCTTATACTTTGGCCTTTTTCCCGAGGATTACTCGATCAACTGTGTGAGGCTCATTAATTTGTGGATAGCAGAGGGTTTTGTAGAGAACAAAGAGAATGATGGTCAAATACTTGAGGAAATAGCAGAAGAATACTTGAATGAGCTTATTGCTAGGAGCTTGGTTAAAGTGGTTAAAGCGTCCTCCTATGGCCGAGTTAGCCGTTGTAGGGTCCATGATTTGATGCACGATTTTATTCTCAGAAAGTGTGAGGAGCTGAACTTTTGTCAAATGAAGGAAAATAAAAGACTCGAGTTGCATGAGTGGACTCGGCGCTTGTCAATTGACGAATGTGTTGAGGATGATCCTGTGAAGAAAAGTGTTGCAAACTATGGGCTAATACGGTCTTGTTTTCTTTTTCGGATTGATCGAGACACACCAAATTCCGAGTTTGAGTCATTGTTCTCAAGATTTAAGCTCTTGGCAAGATTAGACTGTGAACGTGCACCTCTTGGTTATCTTCCAAAAGCAGTTGGAGACTTATTTCATTTGAAATATTTGAGTTTAAGGAATACTGGTATCCGCACGATTCCCAAGTTCATTGGTAAGTTGCAGAATCTTGAGACCCTGGACTTAAAATTTACTCGGGTGCGTGAATTGCCACGTGAGATTAACAGACTTGTTAAGTTGCGTCATCTTTTGGCATATACCTTCAGTGTCGGTGTGAAATTGAAGGTAGGAATTGGACATTTAAGTTCACTGCAGAAGTTAAGAAAGGTTAATGCACGTGATAATGGGGATGTGATTATGAAAGAACTGAAGAATCTGAAGCAGATAAGGGATTTGGGAATTGTTAATATAAATAGAAAAGATGGGACATTATTATGCAATGCTATAGAGTGCATGGCTTATTTGAGGTCATTATCAATTAAAGCAGCTGAAGAAGAAGTTATTGAGTTGGAGTCATTAAGTGTTTGTCCTGAGAGTCTCCAACGCCTTTACTTAGATGGGCGTTTGGAAAAGTTGCCACATTGGGTTCCCAAACTTAATAGTCTTGTGAAGCTGCGCTTGTATGAATCACACTTAACAGAAGATCCATTGCCTCTTATCAAAGACTTGTCAGCACTGGTAGAGCTCCAACTTCGTGAATCGTATGAAGGTAAGGAGCTGTGTTTCAAAGAGGGATGGTTTATGAATCTGAAGGTTTTGAGAGTTTATCTTTCCACTTTGGTAACATTAAAAATAGAAGGAGGAGCAATGCCTTACCTTCAATTGTTGGGATTATCTGAACACCCTGAAATGGTGCAGGTGCCAACTCATGTTAGACAAGTTATCAAAAGGATGATTTAGAACATTGAGGAGGCATTGGACGAGATAAGTTTAGAATTTTAACTTATCTTGATAACTTGCATAACAACTCATTTTCATGATTTGTTATGTAATTTGATGTAGCTATATGTCCATAGTATATTATATACTTTTAATTGCTGTTAAAAGTGAATATTTTTTGTTATGTAAGAATTTGGTTGACCCAATTTCATCTTTTAATATATCCAAGAGTCATATTCAATTATATCCGTTCACTTGGAAGGCCTAAGAAAACTAATCCAAATTAATTTGCAGAATAACTTCCTCAATGTAAGCATTTTCCTTTCTCACTCTTCAATTTCTTTCCCACTGCATCAACACATCAATAAAACATCAAAATATTAAGATAAAGTAAAGAGAAGATAAAGTCAAACCGATTCATTTTATATAGGATTTCTATCACTATGACATGAGTGAGTAAGTTGATTGTTTCAGGTTATTTTTCCGTTGGATTTTGTCTTCTTAAGTTATGCAAATTAATCGACAGTTTAAATTATATATTTAATCTATGTAATTAATATTTATTTATAAATTAATCTTTATACTTAATAAAAAGTTGTGTTTTAATTCTTATACTTGTGTTTTGTTATATTTTAATTCCTATCATTTAGGTTTTAATCTTTACAGTTATGCCACTATTAAATATAACATAATGTTTGTAGAGGGAATAAAACCGTATTTTTTTTTTTAAATAAATTTAATTTTTAAACATATCAAATATAAGAACTAAATATGTATTTTAACAAATTATAATTTAAAAAAAAATGCAAAACACTAAATTAATTGAGAAAAAATTGTGTTAAAATTTAATTTAATTTTCATAAAACTTGATTTTTGACTAATAAAAAATTTTCCTTAATCTTAAAACTTCACATTATATACTACATTTAGAGGAATGAATAAAATATCAACATTAAAAATTTTAATATATAACCATTTTCATTTAAATAGAATATAATTTTTGTACGATATATCTATTTCTATTAAATGGAAAACAAAAAGCAGATATTTGTGTTGTTTTGTTTGGATTCTTTCATCTCCTACTCTGGGACGCACACAAAAAAAAATAAAAAAATAATTCAACCAAGCGTGCTTATACGACTAATTAAGCTATCATGTGAAATTTGTCATATAACATTATTAAAAAAAATATTATTTATTAATTAAGGCATAAAATTGTCTAGTGTTAAGATAATATTAATTAACTTTATTGTTTGATAAAAATTAAACTGTAAGTAAAAACTTTAATGTTGTGTTTAAATAGAAATTTTAAATTTTTTAGAATTAACATTAACAATGGAGGATAATTAAAATGTGAATTAAGTATGAGAATAATTATAAAAAAGTTAAACATAATAAAGATATTTTAAATTCTCTCCAATGATATGACATGTTATTTAAATTTTATTATAATTTTACATAGAAATTTCTAAATAAAACTTTAAAATATTTCAAAAATACTTTTTTATCAGTCAAATACATGTAATTTAGCAATATAGAATTCTTTTATTTAAACACAATCTAGGGTTTATGTTAACTAGTAACATAATATACTAATATTTATATATTAATAGTATATATTAATATTCTATACAAATAAATTTAGTAATTAGTAAAAGATATCAAATTTTTGGTACGAGTTTAAAATATTTATGTTAATAATTCATTTTTTTATTAAAAAAGTTGTATTATCAGAGATTAATCTAATGTTAAATTGTTAATAATTCAGGATTTCGATCACGCGTTTATTTTAAGAGGCCATGCTAACTTGAAGTTTTTTTTATTTAAAAAAAGCAAATCTTATATTAAATGTAAAATTTAACTTTACATAGTCAACAGCTTGTTTGATATTAATTTATTGTGAAAATATTTTTTAAAATATGTTTGCCTTTTATATAAAATTAATGAATCAACAATAATTTGATTAAAGAATTATGTGATACTAAAAATTAATTATGTAATTGAGTATGTTTCGATTAAGTATTTATTCTTTTGAGACTAGTAAAATAAGTAATGTGTTACGGTAAGTTATCGCTAGGAATAAAAATAGGTTAAATTATTCGATAATAGTTTACAACTTAATTTTTTAAAGTCTAACTCAGCTTTGTGTATTTAATTAATAGACTTAATTTAAATTTTTTAAAATTTAATTACTTAAACAAGTCAAGCTTAAACTTAAAAAAAAAGAAATTATTAAACCTATTAAAATAGTCTATTTAAACTCTAACTCTTATCAATTGACATATTTGAAAAGAAACGTTACAAATTATATACTAATAAATTCTTGTTTTCATTTTAACATTACCCAAGACATGCCAACTTCCATCTTTGAATCATTTTTCTCTAGCTTTAATTAGACTGTGAAAATACACCCCTCAGTTATCTTAATTCCTAAAGCAGTTGGTAACTTACTCCATTTGAAATATTTGAACTTAATGAATACTAGTCTTGAGATGATTCCAGAATTCATTGGCAAGATGAATTCTCCTTTTGATTCATAGGAGTGTTCATTGCTTTGGATTCATAGAAGTTATTGAGTTGGAGTCATTAAGTGTTTCTCCTGAGAGTCTCCAACGCCTTTACTTAGATGGGATTTGGAAAAGTTGCCAGATTGGGTTCCCAAACTTAAAAGTCTTGTGAAGCTGCGCTTGTATGAATCACACTTAACAGAAGATCCATTGCCTCTTATAAAAGACTTGTCAGCACTGGTAGAGCTCCAACTTTTTGAATCATATAAAGGCAATGAGTTGTGTTTCAAAGAGGGATGGTTTATGAATCTGAAGGTTTTGAGAGTTAAGCATTCTACTTTGGTAACATTTAAAATAGAAAGAGGAGGAATGCCTTACCTTGAATTGTTGCGATTACGTGAACGCCCTCGAACGCTGCAGCTGCCAAATCATGTTCGACGAGTTATCAAATACGGAAACATTTGGATGTGACGAAATGATGATTTTTATTTCATAGTTCATTTTTATTTTATGACTTTAAATTATTTGAGAAAAAATAAGTACAAACCATTTATTTTGTACAAAATAAATTTATAAATTAGTATTTGGTAAAAAAAAAAAAAAAAACAGATGATATTTTCTAAACACACAAAGATAACAAAACTTGTTGTTTCCCTTGCCATGAATACACTGTAATTATTGTTTAAGTGATTACGTGTCTATGCAAATAACAAGAATGAAGGATAAAAAAAATAAGATTAAGCACTTTCTTACTTTTAATTCATTTGTCACCTTAACATTCACAACCTCAAGATAAGTTTCCTTCCTTACTGCCCAAATATCATAATTGTTCCCATTAAATATCAGTTAAGCTATTTGAGTTAAACCGACTTTAGTATTCACTAACAAGTAGTAAAAAGAATTTAGTTAATAAAATATTCTTTGACTTATTAAAATTAAAAATAAAATAAATTCTAACAACTTTTGAAAGGCACTTTTCAACAATATAAAATAATGAAATAGTTGAACTAAGCTTCCAATCACTTTCCCTTCTTATAACCCTAATATAGAAGATTAAAGGTTTCCATCAGGCGTTTACTTTGTGAGGCTAGTTGAACTAGTTTATGTGTGATTATGCTGTCAATCTAGTTTGGGATTTTCTGTATTAGAAAAATAAATAAATCAAACAGCTAGTATCGATGACGCTGAATAGAATTCTGACTTTAAGGGTTGCATTTGATCAACTCCAATATTAATTTATAGTTTGCTTGAATATTTGAATCTCATGCAGTTTGAACTTTCAACTCTGGTTTTCCTCTACCTTTAAGTATCCCTCCCTTCAATTCAATATCTTTTGATCCAGAATGGTTTAGATTTTGTTTGTGGAGCTGAAAATTGAACTGCTATACATGATTGAAAAGTTCGTTTGTTCTTTTTCATTGAGATTGAAAAATCTTCGCATTACAACATTGCTACTTGTGAGTAGAGACTCTAACTTACGTGTTTTCATAAATTTCGTAAGAATTTAGGGATTTTAATCGTGTTACAAATCCATTTGAGTAAGTATTTACAAATCCATTTTGTTTGTGCTAGCTATTTCCTTGAAGTTTTGCCATATAACAAAGAGAAATTATATTTATATAAAAAAATTATAACAAATTATACAATAAACAATAAAAAGAGAAAAAAGTGTGAAATAAAATGATTGATATAATGAAAATTATTTTGTAAGTATGTATCTCCTTCTTTCTATCAGACAAAGCTGAAAAAAAAATATAAATATTTTTAGTTTAACCTAATAAATTTGATGTGCGTTAAGACCAAAATTGGAAAACATTGAGATTTGGATTTTGAATGTTAATGAATGGTATTGGTACGTTGTAATGTAATGTTTGAGAAAGTTCTAAAGAATGAGTTGAACAGAGCCCACATATCCTTTGTTTGCTCTTTAATGCTGCAAGTAAATGACTGTCAAACTGCACAAATGGTGAATCCAAGAGTATTCTGGACCAAAATAAAAGTATACGTTGGGTTTGACTAAGAAAGTGCAGCAACAAGAAGATAAATATAGAAAAAATTTACGTAATATAAGTCTATATAAGTTGGATAAATTAAATATATTAGTTTTTTTTTTTTTTCAAACGTACGTTGAATGATAGAAGTTAAGAAATTGAAAATATTTTTTTTTATTATCTTAAAATCATGAAGAACATTCAATGTATACTAAGTATTTAATAGAGTATATCTAACTCTTCTTAACATGTCTCAATAAATTACATTAGTTTTTATAATTTTGTACGGAATATATATTTTTATCCATCTATATATGTGTTAGTATAATTCTGTGTCAAATTCTAATGAAACTTGATAGGTGGCTTTGCTTTTCAAGATTTATAGAGTTTCACAACTATATTTGTGCACTCGAAGCTAGGAACAGTGGAGATTTGCAAATAGTGCTTAGAATAATAGAGAGGGAAAAATGACAAAGAAAGAAGAGAGGAAGGAAAAAGTTTGATAACTCTTTGATAGAGAAAGATTACACACATATGACAAATCTATAATTAAATGATAGTGTAAAATAATATATAATTCAATTAAATTCAACTCATAATATTAAGATGGACTAATATGAATCTCAAAAAACAAGGCAAACAATATTTATATATTTTAAAAATATATGTAATAAATATGAATGGTTTTTTTTCAAAAATAAATATTTATATATTTTA